GGGAGGAAACAACTAGTCAATAGAAAAGAGAGAGAATCGCCTGGACAATGGGGGCTGCACAACCCTCTCTCCTCTTCTGGAGCTGAGAGCCACATGGAGAGAGTAGCCTGCAGTTTTAAGTGAACTGGGGCTGCAGCAGGCAGGCAGCCCCGCCCTGCCCGCTGGGGCTGCAGCAGGCGGGCAGCCCAGCCTGCCTGGGAGATGCTGCAGGGCTGCTGGCTGGGAGACACTTAGGTAATCACCTCCCAGCCAAACCTTGCTTCTGGCATCACTTCCCTTCACACACCCCAACTCTCTCCTCCAGGTCACCACCCAAACCCTGTGCACATCCTTGCCTCAGGTCACAACTCCCTTCTAGACCCTGCACCCCCTCCTACACCGCTCCCCAGGCCAGAATCCTCTCGTGCTCCCACACTGCCTCCCTGACCTTATACCCCAATCCTCTGACCCAGGTCACAACCCCCTCTTTCACCCAAATTCCCTCTCATACTTCACACCATCTCTTGTACCCCCAATTCCTTACCCTGTTCATCCTTGTGTGCCCAAGCTCTATCCTAACCCCCGCACCCATCCACAGAAAAGTGCAGCCCTGGACCACTTTCAAAGATCCTGGAGTGCCCCTCACCACCAAAAATTATTGCCCACCCCTGCTCTAGGGTTGCCAAAGCAATGGGAGCAGAGGCTGATAACCAGCCCAGTAGAGGGCTGAGAGAAAAGAGTCCATATCTTAGAAAGGTCTAATTAAATGGTCCAATGATCTCTTCTGTCTCTGTAACAGATTGCCTGAGCAATCATGGCCAAGTCACTTAAGCTCTGCATCAATTCTTCCTATGTAAAATGACGTAAATTCATCCTTTCTTCCACCCTTTGTTTGTTCTGTCTATTTGGATTCTAGGCTGCTCAGGTCAGCGACTGTCTGAAATGAAGATGTGAAATGTATAGCATGCTGGGCTGCTGATATCCCCTGAGGGCTCTGAGCACATCCATAATGAAATTATGTATTAGGGAGGTTTAATAAATGTGGTCTCTCCAGTTGAATATAGGGAGGTACATGAAATCATAAAATGGATTTCTCTAAAGAGGCAAAATCACATTGAGTTCTGTTTGTATGTCAAAAGCTGTACAACACCTTTCCCACCCTAATGAAGCGGATCCCAGGACCCCATCACACCATTTTCAAAAACTGGGAGAAACTGAAGTGTTTTGTGAGGGAAATTATTGCAAAGCACAAAGAGGAGTGGAATCCCTCAGAAACCAGAGACTTCATTGACTCTTATCTGAAGGAAATGGCAAAGGTAAGAGACCAGAGAACAAAGCAAACTGGAACAATCCACTTCTTTATTTTAAAAATTAGAAGTAGAACTACAGTGACAGAGATCTCCAGATGAATTGTCTGAGCATCTGACCCTCCATTAGTGAACAGTTCAAAACCTCAGGGGCTGATTCTGCAGAGCCTTTAAGCCCATGCTTTGCCTTAAGCAGTGAAGAGTAGGTTCACTGAAGTCAGCAGGCCTTCTCACATGCTCGAGTGCTTTGCTGAAGTAGGGCCTAAAAACGTGAGGGTTTGTCTCTGTTCTATGGGCCAGACCAAAAGGCCAGTTAAAGTGCCTGAGATTATTTCAGCCACACCAGCAGGCCTTGTGCTAAGAGCTAAACTCAGCTCAAACTTTTCATTCTCAAAAATTATTCCCGAAACACAGTGTTTCTATCTAATGGTGCTGTCCTGTGAGGGGCTGTGTTTGCTCAAATCTCTCTGAAGGCAGTGGAAATTAAGGGCACCCAGCAGTTTGCATACCCGAGCCTGGCATGATGTTTACATGTCTTTGTATAATACTAATAAATATTGTTTTAATACCTTCCACTTTATGTCTTTGTTCTAAGGTGGATGCTGACCCTAGTTTCCATGAAGAAAATCTCTTATTTTCCACACTAGATCTTTTTTTTGCTGGAACTGAAACAACATCTACAACCATCCGCTGGGCTCTGCTGTACATGGCCACAAATCCAGAGATTCAAAGTAAATGGACATGGATTATTTCTTAATATCTCTTGAATTTCTGCCCTTAACCCTTGCCGCATCAAGTTTTTCAGAGAATTCGGAATATTGTTTTATTAACAGTCTGTACAAAGGTGCTTTATTCCCACAGTTGCCATTTCCCTGCATTCAGAAAACCTTTCCTGCTTTTCCTTTTTTCTCCCCATTAGTTACACCTCCAGCAACTGGCACAGGGCTAAGGGGTGGAAACCACAGGTGTAACAACCTTGATTTAAGAGGAAGCTGGCTTTGTGGCTAATGCATAGGACTGGGATTCAAGACTCCCAAATCCTAGTCCAGGTTCTGCCTCAGACTTTCTGTGTGACACTGGGTGCATCATTTAACTCTTTCAGGCTCAGCTGTCCCTTAGGTCAGCCCAGTAATGGACTTTGCTCTTTTGTATTGATAATGCCTTTACATTTGATTTTGAGAAGTGGAGTAAATAAATGCTTCTTGCATTCTGTGTGGGTATTAAAGGAGGTTTTCCTATTATGATTCAGTTACACTTAAAAATGCTTCTCATCTCCCTCCCATTGCATTAGTCTCTGCCTAATCAGCTACAGTTTTCTTATGTATGGCTGTGTCTACATTGGCACCTTTTTCCGGAAAAGGGATGCTAATGAGACACTTTGGAATTGCATGAATATGGCTGCCGCTTTTTTTTGACTCGGGGTTTTGCCGGAGAAAAGCGCCAGTCTAGATGGGATCTTGCGGAAAATAAACCTTTTTCCGGAAGATCCCTTATTCCTACTTTCAAGGGTTTATTTTCTGCAAGATCCTGTCTAGACTGGCGCTTTTCTCCAGCAAAACCCTGAGCCAGAAAAAAGCGGCAGCCATGTTCATACAATTTGCAATTCCCAAGTGTCTCATTAGCATCCCTTTTCCGGAAAAGGGTGCCAATGTAGGCATAGCCTATTTGTATATTTAGAGCTACATTGCTCACTGATACCCTTTCCAAAGCGTAAATAGAGTTTTCTTAGGAATACCTTAAATCAATGAACTCTGAACCCTGCCCAGTTTAAGCCTGTTGTTCCATGAACATATTGTTTGTTTTCATACCCATGATGACCTCTGCTCTTTTCCTAGAGAGAGTGCAAGTAGAGATTGACACAGTGATTGGCCAGTCTCGACAGCCCGCCCTAGGGGACAGGGACAACATGCCGTACACCAATGCAGTTATTCACGAAGTGCAAAGGATAAGCAACATCGTGCCTTTAAATGTGCCGAGAATGGCAACAAGGGACAAAACACTGGCTGGATACCAACTGCCAAAAGTAAGCTGGAAAGAAATGTATCTTTCATTTCTCATCTTGCTTTAAGAACTTAAAAGAGATGAGCCCAACCCAGTGTCACAGACAGATACACCTTTGCCCGGAGGAAGATCCAGTTCCAAATCTGTACCTATTTTGGGAAGCAAGGAAAATACAGAGCAGCACTTTAAAATATTGGGCTATTCCCAAACCAAAATCTTGATACTTACATTCCTAAGGTTTGAGACAATTGACATCCCTATCAGAATTTTGCAATCTTCATAAAACATGATGTAAGTGATTTATATTAACTGCATGAAACCCTAGTAAAGGGACTAGGAATTAGGTCCAGCACAAGATCACCACTGTGGCTGTTCCTCAAGAAAGGTCAGTCAGGCTCTTGGGCCCAGAAACTTAAATGTATTTGAGCACTTAAGTGTTCTGGAAACTAGTGGGATTTACATGCCTAAATGCCTTAGGGTACGTCTACGCTACCACCCTAGTTCGAACTAGGGTGGTTAATGTAGGCAACTGGAGTTGCAAATGAAGCCCGGGATTTGAATTTCCCGGGCTTCATTTGCATGTTGCCGGGCGCCGCCATTTTTAAATGTCCGCTAGTTCGGACTCCGTGCCCCCGGCTTCACGAGGCACGAAGTAGGTAGTTCAGATTAGGCTTGCTATTCCGAACTACCATTACTCCTCGTGGAGTTCGTGCCGCGTGTAGCCGCGGGCACGGAGTCTGAACAAGCGGACATTTAAAAATGGCGGGGCCCGGCAACAAGCCAAACTCAGATCCTAACCTTTGGACACATTCTTATTCTTCAGCTTGTAGACTGATGCTCAGAAAAATTGGGACACACCCAAGCTCAAGGGAATTCCGTAGTGTAGCCAGGCAGAGAAACATTCTACCAGTCGGTGGGCCGCAGGAAACCATTGCTTGTGGCGAGCTTCCATTCTCCGACACAAACCCCTCATTAATACAACTTAAAGGAAATGTGTACACAATAGCAGGAGGAAAGTGCATTGTATAGTCCATATACAGTAAAACTCCAATAGTCCGGCATCCAACTGTTCGGCACTCCAGATACTCCGGCATCAAAATGCCAAGCGCTCCTGACCAGCTAATTAAAAAGACTGCCGCTCAGCACACATGCTGGCTGTAACCAGATGGAGCATAAGGTTGGGAGTGGGGGGAGTGGGATCGTGTTACAATATAGAGAAGAGCAAAGGGGAAACGTGACAGGAAGGGGAGGAGGAGGAGGATCAGGTTACAGCACGGAGGAGTGAGACGTGAAGAGGAAAGGGGAGGAGAGAGGGAGGGAGATTTAGTCCTGGACAGCTGTTAAGCCATGCAGCTGTACCGGACATCCTGATTTTCTGGGAAATCTGATAAACCTGCACCACTTAGGTCAAAAAGGTGGCAGATTATCGGAAGTCTACTGAAGTTTTTTTCCTACTGGGATTGTTAAAGTGACATGCACATAAAGTAAGGGCACATGAAGTGAGATGCACATGCTGATTGCACACAACATTGACCGAGAGCCGTATGCTGTCTCTGCATCCCATCAGAATACCACTATGGATGCTCTGGCACACCCCACAAACTCTACGTAAACCAGTGCAGTTAGCAAAACTACCCTATCCCAGGAGACCATATTGGTTACAACAACATTGCAGCCCACTGAGATGAAGGAGGCCCTCTCATGTGGCCCACTAACTAGCATAGGTTGCCCATTGCTGTTCTATGCACAAAAACGTCATGTAAGCCCAACTACATTCATGAAAATTTAGCTCTTAAAAAAGAAAGATGGGTGGGTGGGTTTTGCTCCTCTTTGAATCTTTATGGTGTATAAAGAATGCCTGAGAGTATTTAACCTTTTTGGATTGGTGTTTATATAAAAAATTGAATCCTGCCTACCCTGTTTTTCCTAGGAAATGCATGAGAACTTGTAGGTTTATAGTATTGCACCTACGAAGGAAATGCTTAAAAATGCTTAAAAACTGTTGGAAGAAATACTCTCTTTTGTCAAAGATTAACACTCCTCTCTTTCCTTCAAATCTGTGATGTCTGCCATTGTGTTCATTCTGGTTCCTCCAGAAATACTACCAGCAAAACCAGAGAAAATCAAATTTGAGATTTGAGATAAATATAAGGTAAAGAACTGGCTGGAAATTATCTTTTAAAAAATCCTGTTGTCCCTTCTCTGTATATCATAAAAGATTAAAAAGAAACAACATGGCGCCTCCTTTTTCACCTCTTTGTAGGTGACAATTAAAAATGGAGTCAGGGAAGCGATAAATTCCTTTTGTTCTCTTTTTTTAGGGTACTGTTTTAGTTCCCAATTTGACATCAGTGCTGTTTGACAAGAATGAGTGGGAAACCCCTCACACTTTTAATCCTAAGCATTTTCTGGAGGATGGTCGATTCAAGAAGAGAGAAACTTTCCTCCCATTTTCTGCAGGTGAGATGTGTCTGACACTCTCCATTAGCATTATAGCACCAAGTCTTGGGCCTTCTTTTTCACGTTAGGCAAAAACCACAATGTTTATTAGTGGCAGAGTCTCAATGGAAAATGAAAAGCTCATGAAATGAAACTCATGAGCAGCATTCATATCCCTGTCCAGTTTGCATGGTTTTGTCATAGGTAGAGGGCATGTCATTCTTCAACAAGTGCTCCTTCCTAAAGCAGAGCTAGACACAACAACAGAAACAAAGGAAAAATAGTGTAGACATAACCAAAAGTAGGTAGAAAGAGGAAGTAGCCTACCTCACTTGTTAGGAACGTCAGAGTGAGGACAGGAGGTGCCTTCCTTATCTTTCACTGTTCCTTTTCACTTATTGGAAGAGGCAGTATGGGGACTAAAACATGAGGAAGATAATACAGTGTTGGAGATCCCTGAAACGCCCTCCTAAAAAACAACGAACCATTAGACTATTTTAATATAGGATGTGATGGATTCTCCACCACTTTGATTCATTAAGGACCTGATCGCACACTGTTAAGTCAACAGGAACTTTAGCATTAACTTCTTTGAGCACAAGAACAGGTTCTAAATCAAACTTGGAGAATTTCAAAATGCTATGCTCTATGATTATCACAAATTGTTGGGCATCATATAGCAATCTCTGGGTGATGTACTATGGCCTGTTGTAGGCAGGAGATCTGATTAAATGGTCTAATGGTCTCTTCTGGCTTTAAAAATCTCTGAAAAGGAAGAAAGAAAACACAGGAGAATCAGTTTGCATACTCACTCCCATGAATGTCATTTTAACACTACTGGGGCTACGTCTACACTGGCCCCTTTTTCGGAAGGGTCATGCTAATTTTGAAAGTGGGAATAGGGAAATCCGCGGGGGATTTAAATATCCCCCGCGGATTTAAATAAACATGTCCGCTGCTTTTTTTCCGGCTTGGGGAAAAGCCGGAAAAAAAGCATCTAGACTGGCCCGATCCTCCGGAATAAAGCCCAATTCCGGAGGATCTCTTATTCCTTTGAAGTAGGAATAAGAGATCCTCCGGAATAGGGCTTTATTCCGGAGGATCGGGCCAGTTTAGACGCTTTTTTTCTGGCTTTTCCCCAAGCCGGAAAAAAAGCGGCGGACATGTTTATTTAAATCCGCGGGGGATATTTAAATCCCCCGCGGATTTCCCTATTCCCACTTTCAAAATTAGCATGACCCTTCCGAAAAAGGGGCCAGTGTAGACGTAGCCCCAGTAGTGTTAAAATGACATACGTAGCCCTCGAGTATTATCCCCTAAACCCAGTTTGATTTAGGATACAAACTTTACAGCTAGCCCATTTTCTCTAATGACATAAATTTGACTCTGTCAGTATAACACATCTTTTGGGGGAAGTTCAGCTTTAAAGCCAAACTTTGCAGATCAGACTTCTCTCTGATAATTTCTTGTTCCAAAGTCTTGCCAGTTTAGATACATCTACATAGCAACATTATTTTAAAATAACTAGCATTATTTCAAGAAAACTTAGGCCACGTCTAAGTGCGGTATATCTATAAACTAAGAGTCAAGGCCTCCCATTTAGGCATAATGCTGGCTAGACCTGCCTGTGTTCAGCGGTCCATGTGTTATGTCATTGAGAAGCTAGGTCAGTGACAGATTACACCTGACCTGTGTTATTTTAACTTTTCGATCAAGAAATAATACAGCAGTGCATGGCAGACATGGTAGGGAAGTAAGACATCAGCTAGACACAGAAATCATAGTTTTCTATCACTTAGGTATGTGATTTTAAAAAATCAATATAAATTAAAACATCACACCTTTTCTAGTGTGGATGCAGTTAAGGCAAGGGGAAACTGTTATACAGAAATAAGGTAGTAGTGTAATGGCATAGTTAAACTATGTAGATCGGGCCTTCAATAGCCATGCAGAGATGCGGTCGATCTTCCAAGAGTTATCAAACATCATTGTTTCTATTATGAGAAGGAATTACTGAAGTACTGCCGTAATGAATGCAAATATTAGCATCCACAGTTATAAATGAAGGAAACTTTAGTACTAAATACAGCAAATGGTGAATCAGAAAGGGGGTGGGGACTGATGACAAAACCATCTTTTCTTCCCCACAGTTCTGAAATTGCTACCATGGAAAATTAACACCTCATTTGTCATGAGACCTAAACTGTTCTGACAAGGACCTTTGGCTGATGTGCACAACTGTTTTCTTTTCAGGAAAGCGGGGTTGCCTTGGCGAGCAGCTGGCTAGAACAGAGCTGTTCCTGTTCTTCACCATCCTCCTTCAGAAATTCACATTCCAAGCTCCAAAGGGCGTAAAGCTAAGCCTTGAGTTCAGAATGGGAGCTACTCTCTCCCCGAAGCCATACCAGATCTGCGCGCTGTCTCGGTAGGGAGAGCCAGAGCAATTTTGTCACTGGCCCATTTCTCAAAATAATTAGTATTTACCGTGTTTGTGTATAGGGCTGCATCTACAGTATCAGCCAATGGACCATTTGGGACCCTGATATTGGAAGGGACTATAGCAGTTATGATACATCCTACCATGCTGGCAGTTAGTTTTGATGTCCCTACCAAAGCAGCCTGTGTATGCAAACTCAGAACAGCCTATTCATTCCTACTGCCCTGTGAAACTGCAGACCTGGGTTTTAAAAAAGGTAAATGTATTTCATGAATGCCTTCAAAAGGAACATGTTTCATTTGCAGTTTTTCATGACACAACAGCTTTGTTCAATAAATTTTGCTTCTGAGGAAACAACAAAGTTTTTTCTCACTTTTTAAACAGGGTTAGGAGAATTTAAAGGAAAAAGCAGGATTTTTCCTACAGGACCTCGTGCGAGCCAGGATTGAGCAGTCCCAGCTCACGCCGAGTCCCGGACCACTGCTCCTTTGCCTTTTAAACGTAGTAAGAGCCGCCCAGCACTTTGTACATTTAGAAGGCAGAACTGCAACGGGGTACGACCAGGACCCAGCACAACCAGGACCTGAGGAGTCCCAGGACTTCCTGGGCCCCAGACCGCTGCACCTCTGCCTCCCCAGCCCCACACAACACCCACTGAACACAAAAAGCACTTTGCACTTCTCCAGACTCTCCTAGCTAAGAAGCTAGGTATTCAGCTGTGGAATCCACATCGCATGGCTCCCAAATCTGTGCCTACCTGAAAAGAACATTTATTCTGCACTTCGTATGTGAGATGCTTAGTTCTAGGTATATAAAACCCTGGTTAAACAGTTTATGGATTAAGCTGGATCTCACTCACACCTCCATATGCTGGGCTACCCCTGTTGGCCCTGCCCCCGTGTTCAGGGGGATGTAGACCCACAAGTGGGGGAGCCAGCTCCTTCTCGTGGCCTTCCCACTCCCGACATAGGGGACAGACAGCAGGAGACGGCAGCCCAGTGTGCAAAGGGGCCAGCTTCTGCTTCCCCTGATGGGGGGACTGCTCCTAACCCCTTCCAGTTAACCAGTTATCCATTCACCTCCCTACTTAGGTCAAGGAAATATAATCACGATTATTTGAGAAGCAGTTTCCCTCAATTCTTTCTTTCATTCTTTCCCTGTGCCTTCGAATGTTTTCTCTCAGAAGATTGCTCAACTTCCTGAAATAGGATCAGCCTTCTGTGAATGATGGTTTATGAATCCTGCCATTTTCACTAGTTCCCTCCCTCTTGTTCCCTTTCAAATACCTGCAGAAAACCCAAGGAGTCAGCGAAATTGCACTCGTGTACAGAACATTTTTCTTCCCGGTCAAGTTGCATTGTGGTTTTCCAATTGATTCGGCTTAAAAAAATTACTCAGTTTGACCCACTATTGCCTGTTTTACTCCCCTCCCCAGGAAAAAGATTTAAAGGGCTACGCTCCCTAAATACCAATGGGGTTACAATAGCATTGGAAATAGTGTATATGGTCAATTATTTGATAATTATAGGGACTGAGTGGGTAGGCTCCATATTTTCTTAAACCTCAGCCAGTGGGAGAAGCATCTGAATTTTGGAACAGTAGGTTCTGTTGTCTATCCTGGCTCAGCCCTACGCACACAAAATATGCAGCTGCCTAGAGCACTATGAAATTTGAGGCACCAAATTGCTCCAAATTCTGTGGTGCCCCTCCAGGCAGTTGCATGCTGCATTTTGGCCCCATGGCCGGTCCCATCCCTCAGCCAGCCCCCCACTGGCTGCACCCAGCTGTCACTCACTGAGTCATGTGTGTCCGGGGTGGGGGTCGGGACCCTTTAAGCGCAGCCCTCGGCTAGCCTGAGACAGTATCTCCATGCTCTAAGTCCTCCTTTTATGCCCTGCCGGCACTGCTTCCGGCCATCCTTAAGCCCTGTTCAGAGTCCACTCAATGTGGACTTACTAGTTCGAACTAGCAAAACGCTAGTTCGAACTAGTTTTTAGTTCTAGATGCGTTAGTTCGAACTAGCTTAGTTCGAATTAACTAATTCGAACTAAGTTAGTTCGAACTAGCGCTGTAGTGTAGACGTACCCTGAGTCCTGGCGAGCCTCTGGGCTGGCGAAGCAGCCAGCAGCTGTGCTCCCCCACCTGAAGTACCGTCCAGACAGGAAGGACAATGTCCAGCCCACTCTGGCTTAGCTGCCACCTGGCTCCTGAGTGAGGAAGCCATTTCCAAGGCCTGGGAACCCTCTTCCTGCCAGCGCAGGTTCCAATGTCTCTGGTAAGTGCCCCCCCTTGTCCATTCTCCTGCCCCAGGGGGAGCAAGTGTGCCGCAAAGTAGAGCCGCACCCCAGTGGCTCAGCTACCTGTAAGAATTTTTCTGGAGCTGGGAACTTTGCTGAGGGTGTGGGCTGCAGGCTGATGCCAGTTGCTGCCTCATGTAGAGAGAAGAGGTGCTGAGCTTCTCACTCTTCTGGGCCTGCCTCAGATAAGTGGCTGCTTGGGGAGGGGAGAAAAGAGGAGCAGACAGATGCACATGTGCCCCTGTTCCTCCTGAGTCCTCCAGCCTGACGGCTCGTGCTGCTCTCCTCGGAAAAGCCTCTTTGTCCTTAGCTGTGACAGCTGTAACACCCTACCCAGTCCATGTGTAACTTATGGCCCCAGAGGTCACACACAGCCCACCAGAACATTTCAACACAGTCTCCGAATGGCTCTTTCATTAGCATTTTGTCATCACATTTGCCTTATTTGAGTTAGTTTACACAAGTGTATCCAGAAGGACCATGGACGTTCCTGTACCAGACAGCCCCAGTGCCAGGAACCCAGTGTCAGGAGGCTGGCAGCTGACGGAAGCATGGCAGGGATCGGCATCTTGCAGCTTGGCAACCAGGAGTGGCGGGAGGTCTGCCTTAGCAACCCCCCTGCACCATTGACCATGAGCCGGTCCATGTAAGCCCTCATGGCCTAGCCCTGATACCCCCAACGCAAGAGCCTCCTCCCGCACCTCAAGACGCTCATCCTCAGTCCCTCTGTGAAGCCCACATTCTAGTCCAGGTGTGGGTAAGATACGTCTTGCATGCCGCTTCGTCCCACCAATAAGGGCACCTCCAACTATGAAGTGTAGCAACAGCCATAGGGCTTAAGCAGTCCCTTGCTGAATCCTTGCTCCCCACGACATTTCACAGTGGCAGCGCCGCATGGAGCCTGGAATCAGTGGGGGAGGACCCAGCTGACCCTGGCCTCCACGCAGCGCTGTCACTTTGAAACGCCGTATGCAGCCCGGGGCCAGCCAGGGACCCAGGCTGAACGTGCCGTTTGAAAGCAGCAGACCCTGGGCTCCTCCTCTTTCCCCCCCCCTGGCTGCCTCTTAATGATAGAGGCAGCAAGGGGTGGGGGAAGCAACTGGTCGATTAGTTGAGTAGTTGTTCACATCCCTACTCCACGTGGCTCTGTGCTCTGGAGGGAGGGGGAAGCTTCATGCGGTCGCCCCACTCCCAGCCCAATCGTCAGTTCCCATAGGCTGGAAACAACCAGCCAAAAGTTGAGTTGAGAGATTGGCCGGGGGAGTGGAGGGGAAGGAGAAGCCTCTCTCCTTTTCAGGAGCTGGGAGTCACATGGAGGGAGTAGCCTGCAGTTTCAAGTGGTCTGAGATTACTTCAGGCAGGGAGCCCAGCCTGCGTTGGTGGCACTGAAGGGGTGGTGGCTGCGAGACGCGTAGGTAAGTGCCTCCCAGCCAAAGCCTCCCTCAGGGACCCCTGAGCCTCCGACATCTCAACTGCCTGCCCCAGGTCACCATCCAAACCCTCTGCTCCTCCCTGCCCCAAGTCACAACTCCCTCGCCTCCTACACCTCTTCCCCAGGCCAGAATCCTCACCCGCATCCAGACCTCCTCCCTGGCCGTACACACCAATCCCAACCCAGGTCACAACCCCTTCTTCACCCAAAGTCCCTCTCAGATCTCACACTGTTTCCTGCACCCCAATCCCTTACTCTATGCGCCCTTCTGCACCCAACCTCCATCCTACACCCCCAAAGAAAAATGCAGCCCATGACCACTCTCCAACATCTGGGCACCTCCTCTCCCCTTCCCCTCCGAAGTTATTGCTCACTCCTGTAACAGAGAATGGGTGAGGTGAGAATCTGTAAATGATTTATTAAAGACAGCTGGGTGAAAATGAGAAATGAGAACTAAGGAAGAAAAATCTGACATATATTTGTTGATGAGTTTAAGGAACCACAATGGGGGGGCCTAGCAGAGTTTCTGGGTTAAGACTCTGGCATGGGAAGCTCTTGTTTACTTATTTCAAGTTGTTTTGATCTGGCTTCTAACCTTTGTCCTCCTTTGGCACCAGCAGCAGGAGGGTGGGGCTGTGCCCGCTGCAACCGGGTTTCTCTCTGCCCCTGTCACACTTCCCTCTTTCAGCTGCAGTTGCACAGCTGGCCGGGGAAGATGCCGCTGCAGGCTGCCCCTGGGTTGCTGTGGCTCTGGCAGATTGTGCCCTTTCAGACATTGGCCGTGTTCTTGGGCCTGTTCCTGCTGGTTTCTGATTTCATGAAAAGGAGACGACCGAGGAATTTCCCTACGGGACCT